CAAGCGGGTCTGGCCTAGGGATTTTTTAGTGGGGTTTTTTAAGGGTATTTTAAGGATAATTTTAATAATCGGCCTTCTTAAATATTTCCTTTTAATTCGGTTTTTAATATAGATGTCATTGTATTTGTATTGTGGTTTTTATGAGGCTGTTAGCCGCCCTGAGTCCCATGAGGAGAAGGGCGGGGTACAAATTAAATTATAATAATATAATAATAATAATAATAAAATTATAATAATAGTGGAAATGTGGACTAGATCATTCACACAAAAGAGCTGCCATTATGATTATGGACAGTCACAACCTCCAGAAGGTTGTATCTGTTCCTTATCACTTTTACTAGATGTTGTCTTTTTTCCCAATAACTTTATTGAAAATTATATTATACAGATAAAACTAATAGTACAACCTACATGGTATAGAAATGTATTAAAAAGTAAAACATTAAAAAGTACAGAAAAAGAAGAAAGAAGGGGGAAGAAAAAAGAAAAATAAGAAAAGGAAACCTCCTCCTTCATCTTCAGTTGAAATTAACAACTTATCACTATTTCTTAAAGTAAAACCAACACCTCTTCATCCCATACATCACCCCAATTTCTATAAATCCATCTCTAAAACCTCATCTCTCCACATTAATCAGCAAGAATCCATTAAGGCTTATCAGAAATAACATAACTGTTATAAACTGTATCTCTAACACCCAATTTGAATCCTTCCTTTCATATTTATCTCCATTTAAGCAAATACCCCCATTTCATCTCAATTAAACAAAATCTTTAAAACATCGTCCAGTCCTAGTTAAAAAAAAACCATTAAATCAAGTGTGTATTTTTTCTTCTTTGTCCCAATAATTTTTAAGTTCCTCAAAGAGAATTCTAATATTCTAACAAATTCTCATGCTTTGTCTCTTCTCTCAAAATTCTTGGCATCTTTGTCAAGTCCCTTTTGTAATTCCAGTGTGGCAACTTTTATCACTTTTATAACATCTTTTAATTCTTCTGTAAAGTTAAATAACTTTAAAACGTTCATTCATCATGTCCAAAAATATATTTTAAGGCAGCCATCTAGTGTCCAACTTTCAAAATCATCATATCAATTATTTTGAAGTATAAATACAATTATTTCAATTAACTTCAGAGTTTTAAATCAAGCCCATCTGAGCCTTAATCTATTTAGAACTTTCTAATGCCAACGTTAATCATCCTTTTGCTGTATATTTCAAAAATACTTTTTTTACATATGTTTATATTTTTAATTAAACTTTTTGCTTTTAAAGGATTGAAAAAAAAACACAGCCAATGATTTCAATAAAATTTGCCAGTCTGAATGTTCTCGATCTTTAAAAAAAAACTTTAAAAAACAGCAAAAAACCAAAACAAAATCAAATCCATAGAGATTAAAAGTTGAGCCTCAGTCAAACTAAAAGTTCATACAGGCAACGTTAATGGCTATAAGCAAAATGAAATCCTGCAACTCCCAGCTAAGTGCAAGCCAACTGCAAAAAAGCAATTCCTGCAATCTGCTCACAAAAAAACCCAGCTGTCTGGAGTACCTATGAATAATCTTGCAATTTCTCCTTATTCTGGAGAGATTTCGGCAGCCCAAATTTTGAGGACCATATTTGAGGACCATTTTCAGCCTATTCTAGAAGGGTGACAGTTCACTATGATGGCTCACTGAAAACTCTTTTCTTTCTTTTCTGGATTTTTTTCATAGACCTCACTGGCCTAAAAAAGCTTTATCATTTTTATTGGATAAAAAGATGTTTAAGCTAGTGGTGAACTAGAAATTAGAAGCTCATGAATTCTGATTCATCCTTAAGCACAAAAGTTGGCTGGGTGATTTTAAGTTAATTACTTTTTCCAGCACACCTCATTGGGTTGTTGCTTTGGGGAAAATAGGAAGTGGGACAATTATGTATGCCACCTAGACTTGTAAAAAATAAAGGCAATATTGAAATCTAATGAATAATTATGTCTGAATGATATTATAAAGACATACTCCATTTCTTGGGTGTATCCTCACTTTGTTTTGAAAATTGTATTTGAAAATGTAATACTGACAGCATTCATTATATTATCATAAAGTGACCATGGACAAGCCACACATACTGAAGATGTATGTGGCTTCATGCCCAAAATTAGAAGCCAATAATTATCTAACATAAAATTAGAAGCCAGTAATTGACTAACACAGTATGTATTAAATGAACACATTCCTCTCCCTATCACAGAATATTTAGATCTACTTTTGTGAAATGATGAGACAAGTAATCAGCTGTTAAGATACAGTAAGAGTATAAATTTAAGGTGAAGATCATGGAATGCTGATTCAGTATAAAGAAAAATAAAGGAAAATAGTGAATAACTGATAATTGACCATGTTGTTTCAGAATATAAAGTGAGCAAGGCCACATTTTGAGGAGAGAACAATTATTCACAGATTTTGGCTGGCTTTTTTTCCCTGAAGATGTTCAAACAGAGACTAGACAGTCATTTGTTAAGGATCCTTAATTTGAATTCCAGGACTGAACTGGGCATTGGACTCAACTCAATGATTATGAGATCAATATTAATTTGATAGCTTGTGTGTGTTTCCTAAAAATTGAGATAAAAGGCTATTTTCATTATCATATCTATATTAACTGACCAATAATTTACCCTATTAACTTCACTTTCCAAATTTACATTGAACACTGAACTATAAACTAACTATATGAACTTCTCAATATACTAGGCTGAAATGTAGTTGGTTGGTTTGAAGTTCAGAGTGTCAGACTCAGCTAGAGTTTTCTGACTTTACTAGTATTTATTTACTAGTTTGTAGTTCAACGTGTCAAACTCAGCTAGAGAGTTTTTCTTTTACTAGGGCATTTGACTTCTAGACTGCAATTACTATCTGATATTAAGTCCCATTGAAACTTGGAGAACTTATCTTCCATGCAAATTGTGCATTTTTGTGAATTAAATCAGCTGAAATCTTCCTTCACAGACTGTCCCCTGAAGACGGTGGACTTCCCACTGTTCTCTTCCCCAATTCTCATTGTCAGGCAGGATGCCGGATGGGCTGAATGAAGGAACCGCGGTGTTCAAATACAAAGCGCTACTGAGTCAGATTTCACAAAAAAGTGAATCTCTGCAAGCAGGTTTTAATCATGAAGACATACACATCGGGCAACCCTTGAACTCCTCTGAAATGTTGGAATCCTAAGCAGACCACCCCAAACCCAACCAGAAGAGGAGGAAAAGGAATACAGAATGGTCAGTTTGTAATACTGTCGTTGGTAGCTCCTTCATCCTCACCTTGTTGGTGAAATAAGAACTCAAGTAGAACAAACAGAAAGCAAGACCAGTGGCAGGTCTCTTGAAAGGCATCAGTCAACGCATGTCGCCAGGCTTGAAACAAGAGTTAAAGCATCTCCGTCTGGCTGCATGTGGCTGCCATAACAGGGACACGTCGCTGGTGCCTTTGCTCCAATGAGCGCAAAGAAAAGGAGCCGAGGAACAGCCTTCTTAAAGGGATAGTGCTCCCTCTAAGCTGTATTTCTCAACTAGACCTAGACATGCTGTCTGAGGAATTCTGGGAGTTGAAGTCCGCATATCTCATTGTTGCCAAAGTTGAGAAATACTGCTCTAGAGCAGTATTTTGGTCTCAGGACCCCTGACAGTCAGTTGGGTTTATTGAAGACAACCAAAGTTAATGGATTATAACTATTGATATATACTGCATTAGAAATTAAAACAGAAATGTAAACATATTTATTTATTTGACTTTGCAGACTCCCTGAGACACCCACATGGAGTCTTGAAACTGCTTCTCCAGAGCAAAGAAAGTGTCTGTACTCCAGCTGTTTTCAGAAAGGATTTAGATCAAAGGAATAGATTGGCAGAGTATAGCTAATATTTGCGAAAAGGCATGCTCTCTTAGAAACTTGTCAGCATAATTTTGACTAAGATTTTCAAAATGCAAAATGGGATATGATAGAATTAGAGAAAACAATGGAAAATACAAGAAAAAGTCTAAGGTCCTACATTTTTTTTTAAAGGCTGAAATAGGACATCAATTCAAAATGCCTGTGATTTGTTTGTTACTCTCAGACAAAAGCAACCCATCTTTGAGGAACTTTAAGACACCACTCATCTCTACTTGATATCCATTACAAAGAGAGAGACTTGTGGTTTTCCCAAAGCTAACAGCTTTATTACAGCCAATATTTTGGTCTATTAAAATTTATTTCATCGTGTATGCTGATTTTATAATTAATTGAATTTTAAGGTTTCTTCGCTGTTTTTGCTGCCTCTGGATACCACTGCTCGTCTGTTCCTTCATATTATTTTAATAATAGAACTCCTGTGAGCAGTGCATAATCCAACACTTTTTTTATTTATACCTTTTAACTTGACATGTTACATTTAGGATGCAGGGAAAAGTGAACTGCAATGTCTTCCGGGTCCTGAAATTAAAGCAGTGTGAAGAATAGTTTGTGACACTGATCAGCCCAATCATACACTAAAACCTGTGGCATCTTTGCTTCATTCATGTTTTATTTATTATTTGATACTAGTAAGAGCTTTTTCTCTGCATGCGTGTACGGAAAGCTAAAAGAAGTCAAATACTTCTTTAATAGGGGGCTAATCAAAACAGAAAAAAAAGAGAGATAGCACTAATGGCTGTTCAGCCTGTCACTCAATCTACTGATTGATACAAACATCCATTCCCTGATTTCTGGCCCAGAGACTAAGCGTAACACAGTTGTACTAACGAACTGCTTTTTGTGGAGTCTTTGGCGCTCTACGAGCTTTTACTCAAAAGCACAAAACCCCGCTTTTGTTTGGAAGCCATTATGACCGTTTATTCAACGGTTCCCTGATCCGGCATCTATTCAAGCTCAGGGAGGACTCGAGCCGAAGAAGGAGGTTTTTTTTAAAAAACATTTTCCGAAAGGAACGAAACATCAAAACCCCTCGAAACGATTAAACGCAATAGAGAGGAGGGAGAGAGGGCGGGGTCAATGGCGGCAAGGGGGCGGGGAAAAGAAAAGCGACCTTCCAAAAGAGGAAATGGCTCAGCCGCTGGGCTGGAGAACTTGGCTTGGGAGCCAATGAAAAGCCGCCGCCGACTAGTAGGGGGCGGGAGAAGCTTCGGGAAGTTCCTGAAGCCGGAAAGAGGTTCATTCCATCGCTTTTGCTCTCCGGTTCTGCTGATTTTTTTTCTCTCTCTTGGGTACCTTCGGCTTGCTTCCTTTTCCGCCCAACATGGATCCCGTTGGTGTCGCTGCTGTCATCCCTGCTGCTGAGGCGACTCCCAGTCCAGCCTGGCCTCAAACAAAGGTGCGTGGGGTAGGGCAGGAGGGGTGCGTGACCCGGGGATTTCCCAAACCTGGATTGGTTGTTGGAAACTCCCGGAAGAGAGAGAGGACAGCTGTTTTTAACGCGTGAACGTCTGACGCGAACTGTTTGCGGGGCGAAATCTTGACGTTCGCAGCCTTCTTCCGTGTGAGGGGCAACTGTGTTTTTCTGCTGGGTTACTTGGCTCCAGCCTCAGCCGGCCGAAGATGGAGGACCTGATTCTTTAGGCCCCGCTGATTTCGGGGTTTCCCTCTTCCTTGTTTGACCCGTAGAGAGGCCATCTTTTTCTCTTAGAGCAGTGTTTCTCAACCTTGACAATTTTAAGGCATGTGGACTTCAACTCCCAGAATGCCACAGCCAGCAATGCTGGCTGTGGAATTCTGGGAGTTGAAGTCCACATGCCTTAAAATTGTCAAGGTTGAGAAACACTGTCTTAGAGTTTTATGGCTCTTCGTAGTTGATTAATAAATGGATATTCAACAGGCGCAGGTCAGCCTTGTATAATATGGGGTAAAGGTGACCGGATTTTCTGTCACACAGCTATTAATGTTCCCAAAGGCATAAGAGAAGGCATCTTTCATCTTTTACTCTTGGTAATACAAAGCACTAACACAGTGGTTCTCAACCTTTTTAATGCCGCGACCCCAACCGGTCGTAAGTCGAGGACTAAACCGGTCGTAAGTCGAGGACTAAACCGGTCGTAAGTCGAGGACTACCCAACCGGTCATAAGTCGAGGACTTTCCCTGCCCGGGAGCGCAGTGCATGCGTGGTTCCGCCCCCTGCGCCGGCCGAGGCGTAGCTGGCAAGCGGCAGAGACGGAGCAGGCCGACCACCAGCTGGCCCAGCCCAAGGGAGGTAAGGCACCCGCCGGAAAAGGGAAAAAAATGGCGGACAAAAAAAATGGCGGACAGCCTTGCTTGGCGACCCCCATGAAATGGTCGATTGACCCCAAATGGGGTCCCGACCCACAGATTGAGAACCACTGCACTAACATCTCAGGAAAGACAAATTCTAAGGCTCCCAGTGGCCACCAGGGAATCTGAATTGGGCCATATAAGATTTCCCCCTCTTAATTCTGAGCTCATTTGGGGCTTTTTTATCCCAGTATTTGGGGAATGGGGTATAACCAGTGATTGTATCTAGGATGTTACAGTAATATCTAAAGGACTTGGATTATAATCATCCTTAAACCTTAACTTCACCTTTACTGTCAATATATCACAAAAAATGGAATGGAGAAAGAAACATTGATACTGTTTTAAACTGGAGGAAAAGTGGATGCAAAGACTTTCCTTTCTTTTAAATAAAAATAAATGCGCTAAAGAGGCATGTAAAGGGATGACACTTTCACTTATATGTTGTACTGCTGTCTTAATATACTTGTAGTCTTTGTTATTGGATAAAGCTGAATATATCTTCATTTTGTCCATTATCAAAGTAAGTGTACTTCTAATGCAAAAGTTGCCCAGGCTTAACATGGATAGAGATCCTTCAGTAAGTATACTTTTAAAGGAAATATTTCCTCAAAAAAAAAAAGTGAATTTTGCTCTAAGGATAAAAGGTAATTACTATAACTGAATTTAAGTTTATAATCATATATTTTAAATTCATTTAGAACCTCTTGTAATTTTTTCATTCTTCACAGTTGAACACTTTTTAAAATTGAAAAATGATATAAAATGTAATCTTTGAGATAATGGACTAAGATGTATTTTTACAAAGAAAAATTAGATTTCTGTTTAATCTTATTCTTGAGCGGGTATATTCAAGTTAGCTTAAATTTTAAGAAGTTTAAAATTAACAAGCAACAAGAAATCATAACTCTTTGACTTATAAATGATTGGTAACACTGGACAACAGAGTTTGCTTTTTGAACACTTTCAGATGTATCTTGTAGATTTTTGGCTGCTAATCATGAAACTAACCTGTAATTTTACCTATTACATCCAGTTTTCTAGAAATCTTCTGTTTTGCAGTTTCTTTTTAGATGTATTTCAATTTCACTACTTTTTGCTTGCATTGTAAGATGCTTTGGTAGCTTATGCATGTCCAGGCATGCAGTCAGCATATTGCATAACATTTCTGGATCTGGTACAACTTGGGCATGCCTAGGCATGCTGAGGCTGGATGGATGCTGTCTGGAAATGCTATAAAAGCAGCTCACAAGCACAAATGCTATTCATTTTGTTGATATCAGTTTCCACGCATTATGATGTAATTGTTTCAAGGCATAGCATTGTCTATGTACATGTAATTTACATAACAAGTAAGCCAGTTATAGACTTGCTATAGGATGATTGGCAATGGAAGAAATGTCTCGCCAATATCGAACAGCCGTAATACATTCTGCTACATTTGTGGTGAATATATGTTTAAGCCTCAAAGATGCACCATGACTGGACTAAGAAAGCATATGAACTGTACTTTGGTGTAAGATTGATGATCAAGACAAGGCTTGAGTTCCTCACATTATTTGTGCAAGATGTGTTGATCTTAGAGCTTGGCAAACAATGCTATTTGTTCTCCCAATGATATGGCAAGAATAGAATGATCACATGACTGACTATTACCTCTATCTGACTAATGCCACTGGTTTCTCTGCTAAAAATAAGAAATCAATTAAATCTGCCTTCAGCCAGGAGTCCAGTGCCACATGATGACAATCTGTCAGTATCAAAGCCACCAGAGAAATACAGCTTAGACAAAACAGTTGAAGATTCTGCAATGTACCAGTCAGGTACATGCAGTGACAATGATACGGATTTTGAGTTGTGTATATCTATCTGGTAAATCTCATTTCATAAGACAAACAAACTGATCAGGGACTTAATGTTTGTCAAAATCAAAAACAACTCCTGGGTTCAAGACTGCAAGGATGATGGTTGCTGTCATATGGTATGAACATTTCTGTCTTTCAAAGCTGCCAAGATGATTTAACCAATTTCTTTACACAGGTGTACAATCTAGTTTTCTGTATTGACATTGATGGTTTGGGTTATGAGCATAACCCTCTAGAAAGGTGTCATTTTACTGATTTATCAGTGTTAAGTCTCAAGACTGTCTTGTTACACAATGACAAGGTAAACCCTTCAGTACCTGTTGGCTATGCTGTACATTTGAAAGAAATTACAAAAACATGGAACTATTGTTTAAGCTCATCCAGTTCATCAAGTACAACTGGAATATCTGTGGAGATGTAAAAGTAGTGGCTCTGCTGTTTGGAATACAGCTCAGATATACCAAGTACTGTTGTTACATATGCAAATGGGATAGCCATGCAAGAGAGTCACATTACATTCAAAAGAAATGGCCACTCAGGAAGAATTTGGTTCCAGGACAGAATATTGTGGAACATAAATCACTTGTTGACCCAACAAAGATGTTTTTGCCTCCACTTAAAACTTGGACTGATGAAATATTTTGTGAAAGTAATGAATAAGGAAGGAGAAGATTTTCATTATTTGAGACAAATGTTTCCAGGAATAACTGATGCCAACATCAAAGAAGGCATTTTTGTTGGTCTACCTATCAGATACCTCATGAATGACAAGCAGTTCAAAGAGCCAGATAAAATTGCTTGGAAAGCATTCAAGGATGTCATTGAGAATTTTATTGGTAACTACAGAGCACCAAACTACATTCAGTTGGTTAGCAAACTTCTTACATCATACAAGACATGAAATGCAGAAGATTCATTTTCTGCATTCATACTTGGACTTCCTTCCCAAAAATTTAGGTGATGAACATGGTTAAAGATTTCACCAGGACATTGTCACCAATAGAAAAAGAATATCAGAACAACTGGAATCCATCAGTGAATACAAATGAAAATAGCAGCGAAACACTTATAGACCAGTTGAACTCATGCACTGTGGCAGAAACATTATGCAGTTAAATACATTATAGTCATTAAAAGTTGATTTCATATTTCACAAATTTCCAGTATTATACATTAATTCTGAAATTATCTTTGTGTTCAGTTTTAAAAGGTCTATCATGATTACCAAAAAAAATTCAGGAAGCAAAACCTTTGCAAAAAAAAAAATGTCCAGTGTACTTTATATTCTGAAAAAGTAATGGTGACAAAATAAATGTTTTTCTTAATTGTTGGGCTTCTTTGTATACATATGAAAAATTGTAGATAAATGTGTGTGGTGGAATCATTGGCTAAAGGAGAAAGAGCCCCTCTACAGGAAGTAAAGAAAAGTTCTAGCAGTTCAGGGGAGGAAGTCTCTATTATAAAGTCAAACCCATAGGTAGATAGTCACGATTTCCCAAGGGAAGGCAGATGTTCTGATGAGATTCTTGTAATATAGTTGATCAACAATAAAATAGGACTTTTCATGGTGGTGGGCATGGTGGCTTGAACCTGATATTGTATCTTCTGTTGATGAATGGAATGTTTTATCTTTGCAGTGCCCATGGGGAACTCCTGAAAACACTACAATATCATGTTCTCTTGCTGATGTCATGAGTGAACAGCTAGCTAAAGAGCTACAGTTGAAAGAAGAAAGTGCTGCTTTTCCAAAAGTTGTATCGTAAGTTGAATAGCTTTCCATTTTCATATGGTACTTATATATAATTGGCACAGTACTTTGGTTAGTTGCAATTCTATGCACTCTGTCTTGTAAGTCTGTTTTAAATCACGCATATGACTTTACCAAAGCAGTAATAACAGCAAATCATAGTATTTTAGGTATTTTTTCCTCATTTGTACCAGAAAATTTACAACTTTCCTTGCTACTGCCATAATTGTAGCCTTCTGTAATCTTATAGCTAGTGAGATTATTACAATCTCACATTTCGTAGGCATTTCCCCAAGGAAGAGGATAAACTGCTTCCATGCTTTGAGGAAGTTTTATTCCAAGTGAAAGGAATGTTATCAGACTATTCATTCACAATTGCATGTTGTATAGAAATTGGTTGTATCACCTAGGGTTTATTGGAAAAGAGGAAATACTTGTGCCTTGGGGATTAACCTGTAATATATAGCAAGTCAGATAGGAAAGATGGCAACCCTGAGTTCTTTCATCTAACACAATAGTTTTTTAAAAGGAAGTAATTCTTTCTGCTCTCTTAACAAAACCCCTACACAAAGTAAACACTATCGCTTAACTTCATTCTCTTTAAGTAGAGAACAATTTCAAGAAGGCAACAACATGCAGGAAGAAAGACATCTGCTATTACAATTCATAATTTTCACCACAGGAAACTCAGTTCTTTTACTCTGCATATGAAAGAGTTAGTAGAAACGGCCTAATTTTACAATTCATAATTTACAAGAAACGGCCTAATATTACAATTCATAATTTTCACCACAGGAAACTCAGTTCTTTTACTCTGCATATGAAAGAGTTAGTAGAAACGGCCTAATTTTTCCATTGAATGAATATAACTTGGACTGCTGATTCCCCAGCCCTGCAAAATTCCTGCCCATCATTTATTTATTTATCTTCTGGTAGAGACAAAGACTTCAAAATGGCTCATTGTGGGAAAAGATCTTGTAAATGTAATTGCTTCCTATATTTTGGGGCAGTTTCACTCTGATAATCTACCATGCAGTTCTTTGTAGTAGTCCACATGTCAATATTTAATTGAGTATAGCAGTATTCCTTCTGCATCAGTTGGGTTATATTCATGCTGTTTGAAATGTATACTCTTCACTTGGGGTTACAAAAGAAGCTATACTATCCTTTGATTTTCTATTAATGACTGCTATTCAACAATATATATAGAAATAACAAATCTGAGTTGGTATTTCTTTGTTGCTCTTAATGTTTTATTTTGTGTTATTACATCCAGGATTATTGATAGACCCTTCATTAGTGGAGAGAATGTTGATACTTCCAGTGACCTAATGCTGGCACAAATGCTGCAAATGGAATTTGATAGAGAATATGATGCCCAACTTCTGCGTGAAGAAAAAAAGTTCAACGGCGATAGCAAAGGTTACCTTGCATTTGCCATAACTTCTTTGTTAGAATAAAGTTTATTTCTCATTCATCTTTGTCTTAATCTTCAAAAAACAAAAGTGGCAGATTTTTTTAAAAAAATGACATTTGTTTTTGCTTCTCAAGTGTCCATATCTTTTGAGAATTACCGAAAAGTGCATCCTTTTGAAGACAGTGACAGTTCAGAAGATGAGGTTGATTGGCAGGATACTCGTCATGATCCCTATAAAGCAGGTAATTTGTGGAGTCAAAACATTTCAAGATATCTCATGATTAACAAAGATTTTTAGATTTTGGAAATAAGGTCTTATGATGATTATGTTGTCTACCTGATTGCTTTATAAAAAGTAAACAGTGAAGCATCCATGTTTTATTAATACTAGAATATTTGATTAGTATACATTATAAAGATATAATTATGACCTAAGCAAAAGGCAAATTCTTGATCCACAGGGTTTGGTCTACATTTATAATGAGAAAAAGGAAGGAAAACAGGGATAATCCCAGTGTGAATAAATTTAATTTGTGAGGATTATAGAACCATTTAAGCAAGAGAAGAGAGCAGTTTTTAAAAGATCTGTGAATGGGCTATGTTTTTTAGCAACGTTTATTAACAATTCTGTAGTGAATAGTAACAAAAATAGCTTCTTTGAAAGCTTTCTTACTTAAATAATATAAAGCTGAATCAGATTTTCTCAAGGGGAACAGCTGCCTAAGCATATTGTCACTTGGATTTCAGAGCATAGAAGAATTTATAAACTATGGCTAAAGAAATGGTAACATACTTTTGCTTGTGAGATATTGTACATTTAAATGTAATGTTCTGCTTATTGATAGATAAACCTACAACTACTCCAAAAAAGGGCTTTATAGGAAAAGGAAAAGATATAACCACCAAGCATGATGAAGTTGTATGTGGACGAAAGAACACAGCTCGGATGGAAAATGTAAGTTCTCCTAGACAGATAAGTATTCTGTTACTGCAACCATTATGAAGGGAGTATTCACCTTTTAATCCCATTTTTAAGAGAGGTTCTTACAGTGATTTAGAAATATCAGTAATATGAATTCCTGCTCCAAAAAGATGGAAAAGAAACTCGAATGTATATATTAACTCTTAAAATTAGAAACTTGCCTAACCAGTTAAGATGTTCTGTTAAAATAATGGCAGGGGTAGAGACAGTCAAAGGTTGATTCTGTTTTAGCAACAGGAATGAAATAAGTTGATTTTGATTTTGATGCAGTTTGGATAATCAATCCAAACTGAAATAAGTTGATTTTGATTTTGATGCAGTTTGGATAATCAAATGCAGTTTGGATAATCAATCCAAACTGCATCAAAATCAAAATCAACTTATTTCATTCCCGTTGCTAAATCCGCTTTTATATTTGTTTCCTACTTTTCCACCCAAAAGGATATTCAAAGCAACAAAATAAAAGTATAGGAAAAAAATTGAAAATACAATTTAAAATGTAGATTCCTAGGGTAATAAATAATTAAAACAATTGAAGAGGCAAATTTAGAGATTTAAGGTTTGACAACTTTTCTAATTGTGGAGAGAGTAAGGATCAATTGCAGTTATGAAGTAGTGTATTTGAGCAGTGAAATGAAGGCATAACATGTATATGCATGATTTTTCTGCATGCTTGACAAATGGATGACTACAAACCAGAATACCTTCAAAAGAATTTCTACTGCTGGTTCTCCTCTTAGTGTGTCTATGAGTTCATAATCAAAAAGGTTGTCCCTTAAACAATAAGGTTGACATTACACTTGTCTCTTTTTCCAAAATTTAAATTTGTTTTTAAATTTAAAATTGAATGGTTAAATAGGGAGCATACTTAGAATTATTTAATTTCAGTGATTCAACTCTGAATATAACAGCATGTATATCCATTTTTATTTAAAATAATGATGAAAGCTAGTTGCTTATCAATTTACATCTTTGTTTGCAGTTTGGACCAGAATTTCAAGTTGGTGATGGAATTGGTATGGATTTAAAATTATCCAATCATGTCTTCAATGCCTTAAAGCAGCATGCATACTCTGAGGAACGCCGGAGTGCCAGGCTCCATGAGAAGAAGGAACATTCTACTGCTGTGCGTCTTGGTGACTCGATCAAATGAAATAGTTTTATATTTTCCTATTGACTTGATCAAATGAAATAGTTATCAAATGCATACTTTGGTAAAGCAGAGGGTTTACAACAAATAATTGAGTACATGAAGGAACTAAGAATTCAATAATAGAATAGTGGAATCATTATAAAATCATAAATTTGATTGTCCCTCAGAGGTCATGTAATCCAACCCTTGTTTGGTAGAGGATCTGCTAAAATATTTCAAACCAACCTCTTAGAAAACTTCCAGTGAAGGGGAACATGCATCTGGCTACTCTTGTGTTTCTTCCTTTATCTCCAGAATTCTTGGCCTCAGACCTTAGTGCATTACATTCAGGGGGTTCGCCACGCTTTGCTTTTTCATTAGTTTAATGCACTTCCAGTGAGAGTCTTTGTCAGATGCAACCCACATGGGTAAAGTCATTAATGTGAGTAACACAGTTTGTGTTTGAGGAACTCAGTCCCTTCTGAATAACACCATCTACAGGGCCAGTGGTTTACTTCCAGGATCCTGTTCTCTTTTATGCCATGGCCCAACTGGAAAGATTGAAGAAGACACTAGTTGCGCTCACCCATCATCTTTGAAATTCCATTCAAAATCTTTTGCATCATTGCTTGTCCCCACATCTGTCTATCAAGCCTGGATACAAATATCTGAAAGACATTTCACTTCCCATGATGTCATATCAAGTCTGCACATTACAGCTTTGGTTCCTATCAGTAGGGAATTGCTCACTATCACAACACAACTCTTCCTTTGATCTTGAGACACTGATCAAAATAGTTTTCATTTGTGGCACTCCTGTAAATTAGAAGAGCCTTTTGTTATTTGTACTGGTCAGCAAATTTAAGAAAATGCCTATTTGCAAAATATTTGTCCTGGGTCCATAACAAGATACTACATTTTTTTCTTGTGTAGGAAAAAGCTGTAGATCCTAAAACCCGTCTGCTTCTGTACAAGATGGTCAATTCTGGAATGCTTGATACGATCACTGGATGCATAAGTACAGGAAAAGAGTCTGTGGTGTTCCATGCCTATGGAGGAAGGTATACTGTAGTATTGATAATTCCTAAAAATAAAAATTATTTTAGAGCAGTGCAGTATTTCAAATAGGTACAATGGAACTGTCTTGCATCTATCTTGTTCCCAGTTCTTTGCATATTGTGCAATGAAACATTAACATAATTATCCATTATTTATATCTTTAAATTTAAGATACCTGTAAAAGTAGCATATAATAATGTGGCGGGTATCAAATATTTCAAAGATATGTGATAGTACAATATTGACTATTGTGAATAACACAAATATTCCAGTCATCTGTCTATTTGCAGCTTTTAAAAAAATGAGTTTGTATGGCATATGTCTAAACTCAGTGCTTTGTTTTTCCTAAAGTTTGGATGAAGAAATCAAATCAGTTCCTTCAGAATGTGCTATAAAAGTGTTTAAAACTACTCTTAATGAATTTAAGAATCGTGACAAATATATCAAGGATGACTATAGATTTAGAGAACGTTTCAGTAAACTGAATCCAAGAAAAATTATCCGCATGTGGGCTGAAAAAGAAATGCACAACTTAACAAGGTACAGAAATGGATATACATAAATACAATGTAGTAATTTTTCATTCACACGTTGTTGGGAATATATAATTTAATACTTGATTGGTTTTAGTGTTGAATCAAGTCTTAATTCTATAATAGTATGCCAATAACCATTATTTTACATTTTTAATTATACTAATATATTTTAGGATTAAAAAATGGTTAGCATTTATGAAACCTAACTGATTATAACCCATTAATCAACAAGTTTCACAGGTTTTTTTTAAATATGGGGTGCTTTTACAACTTGTACTAATTCCTGAGTAAAATTAATTACCACAGGGTTTTTCAAACAACAGTAATAGACACACATCCCCGAAAATGATAATTGAATTTATTCCACTAAATCTCAGGCATAGCAGGAAGGAGTTAGGTTGCAATTCTGTTTTGCTTCTACAATTCATATCAGGCTGGCATAGGTGACATTGGAGTCCTGTTGAAATACACTCTTGGATTTGCTCCCCACTTTGTCGGAACAAGTCAGCTGCAGGTTGCTCAGAGCAGATTTTGACAGTGCGTGCACAAATCGTATTAGCTATTCCATCTCCTGTTTAAATTGCTCTTGACCTATTGGGGAGTTGGAACCCACAGTTTGAGAAACCCTGAATTATGCTAAAGATAATGGACTTCATAATTAGACATTCATCAACATATTAATGTTGTTTTTCTTCTTTACAGAATGCAGAAGGCAGGCATTCGTTGTCCACAAGTCGTTAGCCTAAAAAAGCATGTCCTAGTCATGTCTTTCATTGGTCAGGATCAAGTCCCAGCTCCTAAACTAAAAGAAGTAAAACTCAATAGTGAAGATATGAAAAATGCCTACTATCAAGTTCTTCATGTAAGATCAATGTTATATGTAAATAGATCCAGTGTTACAGAAGCAAGCTTCTGCTTGCAGAGTAATATTTTCCTCCTTTTCTTCCATTTACTAATACACGTGAATGCAGATTTGTTTCTGAGAATCTTCTTAACCCTGTGGGACATCAGTGGTGTCTCTTTGGCTTATTGATGAATATCACATGTTATAATGTCTTATTATTATAATCACATTATAATACCACATGTTATAATGTCTTGTTTCAATTACAGAAAGCTCTGACTGAGATATATTACAGTAATGATGAATAATAGGCATAAATGTAGAATTTGAAGTAAAGGAAGTACTCAGTGAACTAGGATAATGAAAAGCATTCAAATGGGAAGCACTCCATTTTGCAACATTGGGCAACATTGTCTACTGGAAGGCCTAGAAGAACTACTCAAAAAGTTTTCATAGGTTGTGTCCTGTACATGAACATTCAGACAGAAGGTCTTTTAGGAATGTTGGCAAAAATGGTTTTGCGCAAACCTGCAGAGACAATCTGGGAAATCTTTGACCATGGGGGTGCTGCAATAGTCATAGGTGTGAAAAGCGGTCAAGTCACTTTTTTCAGTGCCATTGTAACTTTGGTCACTAAACAAATGGTTATAAGTCAAAGACTATTTATCTGTTATTTCGTATCATTTATGACATATACTGCACTGCAGTCTATTATGCTATACTGAATTATAATGTGTTATACTATATTTGATTTCTGGGTGTTATACATAATAGAACATAAAAACAAATTAAAAATAACTAAAACAATATAAAACAAATATAGCACTAAGTAGAACTGTAACCATGGGTGTTAATACAGCCAAGAAACATGACGTTTAACACACTCAGGGCACACAACCAATTCTTCATGGCCTTATAAAAGGTCAGCAAGGTTGGAGTCATTCTGATCTCTGAAGGGAGAATGCTCCAGAGGGCAGGGGCTATGACAGAGAGGGCACATCCCAATGCCAACCAGCATTCCTTTGCTGAGTAGCCCCATAACATGCTCAACCTGCTGGATTGAATTGAAGATACAGAGAGAGACAGGGAGGGAGGGAGAGAGAGAGAGATAGATAATAGACCGTATTGAAATTTCTATTTGTGTTATATTCCAAAAATATTACTTGCTGTTTTCTTCCAGATGATGCAACAGTTATATAAGGAGTGTAATTTAGTACATGCTGACCTGAGTGAGTACAATATGCTGTGGCATGGAGGGCAGGTAAGCTAATTGTAAATGGAAGATGCTAATTTGAAATAGACCTATCTGTATTTTCCTTAGCATACTCAAACTGTTAAGTTTTTTTACAGGTCTGGTTAATTGATGTCAGTCAGTCTGTGAATCCAACACATCCTCATGGACTTCAATTCCTGTTCAGAGATTCTAGGAATGTTTCGCAAGTAAGATTTATGCCTATCTCGGTCTTCAGTAATTGGACCTGTAGTGTTGCATTAGAATAGTTTGTGTATGAAACAAGTTTTCCCAGCAAAAATACCAGCATATTTTTATCATATGCAAAAGCTTCAGAACTTCTGGTCAAATTGTGTATTTCAGCGAATCCCTCACTGTACAGACACAACCTCTGTATACATAAAACTAAGCATAAAATCTTTCTGAAAATTCAAATCCATACTTACTTTTTTTGTAGTTCAGTTTACAGATTTCAGCTAAGAAAATAGTAAATATGGCAAGTGCTAACGTTTGGACACCCTTTCAATCTAGTCAGAAGTAAAAGCATCCAAACATTTATTGTAACCAGCTAAAAATATTTCTATTCTTGCTTTTGGAACTTTTCCCACTCCTCCTCGCACAAATTTTTTTGCTTAGAGATATTCTTAGACTTTCTTCCATGCACTGCATGTTTGAAGTATCTCCGTAGATTATCAATAGTATTCAGGTTTGGAGACCATAAAGGCCATTCCAAAACTTTTATTTCTTGTAAGTACTTTATGATTGATTTGGAGATACATTTCAGAACATTGTCCTACTGAAATATCCACTCTTTTCAGCTTGAAGCCCTTTCTTACTTGTCATAATTACATTTTGTAAAACACATGTATTTTTTTACAGTGGGGGTCTAAATGTCAATTTGTTGAAGTAGAAGTAACTTGCATGTTCAGCTTAAGAACTATTATTGCAAGTTCATACATTCATAAACAATTACATGTTAGAAAGCTTACATCTCTGGGTATCTAACAGATCTTTTTTTTTTAATTAAAAGTTCTTTCAGAAAAGTGGTGTACCTGATGTACTCAATGAGCGAGAACTCTTCAATGCTGTTTCAGATTTAAACATTGCAGCTGAAAACGAGGTGGATTTTTTAGCTCAGGTAAGAGTGTTCTACTTGCTTGTTTTTAATGAAAGGTGGCTTTTTAAAAACAAGATTTTATTCTAGTGTTGCTAGAAAGCTCTATGCTTTTGTTTAAGAAGATAAAGAATCTCCAATATGATTTGGAATAACTTAGAAGAAGCAGTAACAGTTCTGAAAGTAATTTCAGACTCAAAGTATTGTGCTGTCACCTGTCTCAACAATACCAAGCTCTTCTGAAGAAAGACTTAATAAGATGACAGTTCCAATGTCAATAATTCTTATGGCTTTTTTTTTTTAAAGGAATGGTTTCTTATAACAATAAAATTCACTTTATTGCAATTTAATATACTACTTGGAGTTTGAGACATTGGAGGTGATAGAGATGAAAAATACTGTTATAATCCTTTAGAAAATCAACAGATGTCAGTGGCTTTTTAATTTAGTAACTTGAATCCAAGCATATGCCTTATATGTTCAGTTTAGTACTAACCTCTTATTTAGAACAGAAAATATTTCCACCATATCAGAAACTGCCTTACAGACATTTCTGGTTCAATAATAATTGACACGCAGTGAAGAAGATAGAAGAAGGCTTCTTTTGGAGAAAGCAAAAAGTTCTTCTGATACAAATAAAGTATATGCTGTTTTTTAAATGACAACAAAATGTACCTAATCCTTCAGGTGAAAGCATCAGCTGAATTATCAAAGTGCTGAAGCAACAGTTTCCTAAAGTGTAAAACTAAAAAATAACATCTGATTTTGCATCCAATATATATTGTCTGGTTTTGCAAAGAAGAAAGATGGTAACCTATGAGCCCAATAACTGTTGTCTCTGAAACAGGACGTTAATTCAGCAGAATTCAATTTATGTTTGTGTATTATATGAGCTGTTGTAATAATGTGATAGAATATAATCTTCATTTGTAATTTGATAACACTGAAAATGCAAATTCAACAAATCAGTTTCAAATAATCTGGGAGTGCTATCTACTTTACTTCTACATACGTTTTCTTTACAGATTGAAGCTTTGGAGAAGATTAATGAAGATCATGTAGAAAATCACGGGAAAAAAACTTTTTTATTTACACATGGTGATGAGGACCCACCAACACTTGATAAAGAATAGCACTTTGCATTGATCTGAAATATCTTTTTGGTATCTAAATTTTAGAGCAGTGATTAAAAGTCAACTGCCAAAGGCAATGGGGTATGCTCAGATGCTGTAAATGAAACATTCAGGGAATATACAATGGTGCTTTGATGTATTTTAGAAAAGTCCACAATTAGACCATTGGAACTTAATTGCATACCTTTGTAACAATGAAAATAATTTCATTTTCTGTTAAATCAGATTTTCAGTGGCGAAGTATGTGTGATATAAGTAAGATTTCAAAACAATGTAATGCTTTCAGATTAAAACACCAAAGTATTACACATATGAAGGTAAGAGAGATAGATGATCTTTCCTTGTCTCCATTGCTTCTTGTTCTTAAATATTGATATATATTTGAGATTCTGAAAATACGTTTCATGTTTTAGAATTGCCTGACATTACATTATTATCCAAAGTTGATTATTTTTACAAGGAAGTGGCATGGAAAAATTCTTAATATTTAACAAATGAAACCTATATTAAACACTAAAAACAGTTTAAAGCTTTTCTATAATTTTTATACACAGTATAAAAAAATTGGCCTGCAATTTGACTTTAAATTTTAGCTATAATACAGTTCTTCACAAAGGTGTTATTAGATAATCAGTAACCAATATTTAATCTTTTATTACTTAAAATAGTGCTTAAATGGAAGATTTTAAATAAATCTGAATTATGTGAAATGAATGAAAAATACACAACTGAATTGTCTCTTATATACACTTGAGGTGATTGTAGATTTTCAGTATTTTCAAAGGATTCAGAGAATATCCTCATTTAAAAAAAAAGTTCATTTAACATAGTGTCATGTGTAATATAGTATGACATAGTTTGTGCAAAAATAAACCAGCAGAACCAAGTTTGTTTTATCATATTTCTCAGAATGCTGCCTACTTTGTATTTATATGCACAGAGACTGAGAGAATGAAATTTGGATTCATTTGTCCTAAAAATTGTCCCTATGGGCTTTATGTATAAGTGACAGAATTCCCACAACCTGCATTTGTGTTTTTTAGAGAAATAATTTCTATCTTGCAGTGTAATTACACTTAACTAGATGAGAATTATTTTAGAAGGCCAGTATAAAGTGAGATAATTCACTGATACAGGTTTCTTTTTTAAATGTGTCATCCATTATGTTACAACAAGGTATAGATGATGTATAATATTCATATACTCTGTGAAAAGCCTTGTTCCTTGCAAAATGGGAATAAAAATAAAAGACATCAGATCTTGTTCCTGAATTAACATCTGTTCTTGTTTTGTGCCAGTAAGCATTTAAGTTTTGTTTCAAAATCAATATTTTGCAGTATTTTTACAATTTCCCCAAAGCTGTGGTTACCGCATCTACATGGAGGGAAGTGTGTAGTGGGGTGCCCCAGGGCTCTGTTCTGGGCCCAGTGCTCTTCAACATCTTCATCAACGATCTGTACTAGGGGATAGATGGGGAACTCATAAAATTTGCAGACGACACCAAGCTGGCAGGAATAGCCAACACTCCAGAAGCAATACAGGAGGATCTGGACAGACTTGAACACTGGGCGCTATCTAACAAAATGAAATTCAATGGTGAAAAAAGTAAAGTTCTACATTTAGGCAAGAAAAACCAAATGTACAGGGATAGTATAGGGGGTACCTTGCTCAATAGTAGTAACTGTGAGAGGGATCTCGGAGTCCTAGTGGCCAAGGAAATATTTGACGTTGTAACTTGAGATTTGTACTAAAGATTTTGTTATCCAACTAGTGATTAACCCAGCCACCACGTCGCTTTTTAAATACTTAAAATGTAAAATTGGAAGATTAATAAAATATTATAAAAATAAATAAAACAAAAGCAAATGGCATCAAACAATGATTCGGTTGGAGTTCTCACTTGAGGAATTAGCCCAACTGTCGGGAGAAAACTAATGCTGGGAAAAGTGGGATAAAAGAGGACGACCAGCAGCAAGGTGGATGCACTCAGCTGTAGTAGCAACGAATACACCGTGGGAAGAGCTCATTGTCTCATGATGAGGAAAGTTTGTCGACCTGGTGGCACCTAATTAATCATCAGTCAGAGTTCCATGGGAACGTAGTGTGCAGATGCACCGGCTTTAAATCTTTTAAAATGTAATTCTTAAATCAGCAATATTTAATGTTTTATACTCTTGTTTTTATTATGTTGAAAGCCGAGCAGATCGCCTGATATTAAGACGGGCGGCATATAAATGTAATAACTAACTAAATATTCAGTGATATGTTAATTCTGCTCGTCCTGCTCCTATACCGGGAAAGAGATCAGCCTCCTCGGCTTTAGACCAAGGGTAGGTAACCTTGGCTCTTTTATGACCCGTGGACTTCAACTCCCAGAATTCCTGAGCCAGCATGGCTCAGCTTGGAAACCTCTCCCTTTCCCCTCAGCATGGCTGGCTCAGGAATTCTGGGAGTTGAAGTCCACGAGTCATAAAAGAGCCAAGGTTGCCTACCCCTCCCCTAGACGTTTCTGTTCAGTGAAAGGCGTACTACGCCTTTAAGGACCGGTAGCTCTCTGATCATGCGCAAGAACTGTATTATCAGGAAGCGGTTGTTCGGTGCCGAGGAGAGGAAGCCCTCACGCGCAAACCGCTTTGTGGCGCCGGGAGGGGGGCGGTGAGAGAAAACAGATCGGCCGAACATCGGAGGGTGGGCGTGGGGGAGGGGCGCGCGACGCTCTCTCTGCCTGTCGACCGTTCCACTGCTGCCATGGCGACGACCACCAGCGACGACTATTACTTGGCGCTGTGCGCACGGCCCGTGCAGTTCGAAAAGGCGAGCCCCGTGAATTGCGTCTTCTTCGACGAGGCCAATAAGCAGGTGAGAGGCTCAGGCCGCGGAAAGGGGCGGAGCCCTATCCCTGGTTCCACACACACACACACACACCCCGTCCACGCGATTCATCCTATCCTTGCTTCGGCTGGACCAGAACGTTTCTGTATCTTGTGGACAGCGATGACCTTCCCGCTTTTCCAGACCCTAAACCAGGGCTAGGCAACCTTGGCTCTTTTATGACTCGTGGACTTCAACTCCCAGAATTCCTGAGCCAGCATGGCTGGCTCAGGAATTCTGGGAGTTGAAGTCCACGAGTCATAAAAGAGCCAAGGTTGCCTAGCCCTGCCCTAAACCAACCCTGGACCGGGTCCCCACGTTCATATTTCTTTGGTCACAACACGCATCTGGTTCCTTACTCTTCCTGCTCTGTCGCAAAGACTCCTATAATTGCACGGTTGGGCGGAAAGAATATTTAAAAATCTTCTTAGGAAAAGGTGGCAAAAATTTGCATTTGCAATAATGCGTCCCGAGAAGCCTCTGATTCCAAGAAAAGACTTTTGATCCACTTGCGGGCAGGGTACCAATACTAATGTCTAGGTCGTGTTGAAAATGAGTGATAAAACAACATTGGGTTATATTGGTACCGTCCATAACTTGGGTAGAGTTATAATACTAGCAGGCAACTATTTTATGTTTGTACATCTATATTTTGTATATGGATGGTGGGAAAAGGTTCAGTTATCAGATAGATGTTCTCTTTTTAAAAAACGTGGGAAAGAGTTCTTTTTACAAATAGGTGTTTCATAGGCAACAGTCAAGTTGTTTAACATCTTAGTTTTAATCACAAAGGTAAAACTCTTGGACTCTGACTCTATGTTTAATTTTAACCCTTCCATTACAATTTTGTCTTAATATGAGAACCAGAATTATTGAGGTTGTTTTTTTTCTCATTGGCGGAATTAATGTACCTAAATAGATGTATTCCTGAGAAAATGGACTGAGTGCTTTCACATGATATGTCCTGATGTACTATTTTGCTGCCTTCATGTGATGGCTTCATGTGATTTTGATCTCAAAGGACAACTGAGAATTTGATAGTTGAAATTTGGTTCTGAACTGTTTTTTTCCAGTTTTGTGTACTTTGTTGTGCACTTTGCCTAGAGAAAAACAGAATACTGTTCCCAGGGATAAGGAATCTGGAGTCATATGCAGCTCTCAGCTTAATGGCTTGTTCAGATTTTGGCAAAAACTATCCCCAGCAAGGAATGGGAAAGAGGAGCAGAGTAAAAATAAGAGCAACGTTTTCTGATTTCATCACCATTACTTCTGTTATTTTATCAATGCATCTCGCCTAGAATTATGTGGGAGAAACACTTTTTAAACTTGGTTTAAAAAGAAAAATTGTCTTATACCCTGTTTAGTCTGTTAATATTTAGAACATCGTGTGGAAAACAAATTCTATTGTTTTGGAGATAAAGAACTTTTAAATTAGGTTCTAGTTTGAAACTGAAACTAGATCTCTGTCTGTTTAGGTTTTTGCTGTTCGATCTGGTGGAGCTACTGGGGTAGTAGTCAAAGGCTTGGAAGACCGCAATCCTATCTCATTTAGGTGATGTAAATGCATCCTGAATGCTGGGGGTTTTTTTGACAGCTAATTGCATTGTGTTGCAAACTTTTGCAAATACAAATATATCATACTGTTCAAAGGATATTTCTTCTAATTGTAAGTTGTCTCTCCCTATGTATTTTCTTTAACTAGTAAATGACAACAATGATTTTAAAATACGCAAAACTCAAGAATATGAATATAATTGTTTTTATCTTGAGTACATGTGTTAGTAAACTTGATACAGTAAAATGCATGTAATTAGAACTATAGTTGGGGAGAATACATCAATATGCAGTGCCCAATTTATTTGATTCCCTATTTAATAAAATTAGTTTGATAAAGACTGTTCTACTGAGCTGTTCTGACTAAAATAAAGAGTTCCCATACAATAGCATTCTGACATCCTGTTAGGATTTAGTCTACATGAATGATTGGGCATGCAGGCTCTTTGAATCTAAACTTAATATGTATATCACTATATCATGTTGATTAAATCCAGCATTGTGGGCACTTATACAACTTGTAAATATTAGAAGTTGGGCAGTCAAGCATAGCTTTCTTTTTTCAATGCACAAAAAGCCTTCTGTGTAAGAATGTAGTGTTAATCCAACATAAAGGCTTTTCTTATTATTGAAAAAATATCCTTGTAGAAGATTCAAAGCATAGAGAAGGTCTGTTTGTACTTGTTTTCATTTAAATCCTCACAGATCGTAACAGCTTATTTCATTGAAACTGGGACAGATGGTGGTTGTGACCTCTGGCAAGAGTAGTCAAAAGCTGAATCCCATACATAATTATCACATATTTTTCTCACATTGCTTTTTACTAAATTACTTTTTAAACTGGTGCATAAAGGAATTTGATCATAACTACGTTTCTAGGTAATAAGAATGGAAGGGTTGATTTAATTTTGAAAACTTATACATGCAAACATTTCTCCTATTTTTCCCCTTGTGAAATCTTCAATTTGAATCAGCCTTGAAGTAATATTTCAAAATAACATCAAATGGGTGTTGAATACTTTAGCCTTCTCAAACCCTACAAACAAATGCATCCTTTCAGTTTGTCCCAGATATTTTAGCAGCTATCATTTATTCCTATACAAAAGTGAGGTCATTGCAATTGTGGGATACTATTCAAATAAATATAGTATCATCCTCATTTCATTCCACAATGTGGAATTGTTCATCCTCTTTGTAGAGCTCATGGGAATACAGCATAGCTAAACCCAGAGAAACATAATCAGAGAGTCTTGCACTTTATGCTATAGCATATACTGCAACATGTTGACATTTTGCAACATAATATTTTTTCCCCACATGTTATCTCTTGTTTTTGGCTTTTGAAATAACTAATGTAACAGTGCTGTCTATATATTACGAAAGCTCTTGTTTTTTGTGACTTTTAACTGGGGGAAACGATACATCATTGAGCAACAATTTTTGAATCAACTTATAGAGTCCTGAGGACTCTTGAATCAATGTTTGAGTACTGAGGAAATAAAATTTAGGTTCATGTGATCTCCATTTTTAGTGTTTCATGGCAGTTTCTTAGCCAGTCTCTCTCCCTCACTCAGCAGCAGTCACTTACCTTGCCTCCTGAAAAGGGAAGGGAAAAGAAAGGGAGAAAAGAACAGAGAGAAAAGAAAAGAACCACCGTGCAACCTTGCCGGCCCACGCCATCCTCTCATGCCTTCCCCCGACACATGCAGCACCTCTTATGCACCTCCATGCATCCTTCCTGAGCTGCCCATGTGCCTTCCCTAACTCATGTGGCATCTCTTCAGCATACCCACACATCTTCATGACCACCTCCCATGGATAATCCCTGACTGGCGTGTCACCTCATC